AACTTTAATGAGCTCATGAACTTTACTCTAAGACAAAAACACAATGTCACACAGCTAACTCCAGAAACAAATTGGTTCTTGTGAAAAATACGTATATACTCCAGGTTTGAACTCACTCCGTTAAGGCTATGTTTGTTCTCAGAAGACACTGAATGGCGGTACAGAGTGCACGATTCACCAGCTGAATGAATGAATGGGTGTGACTGTACGCCGCCTTCACCAGTAGTTTAGCAATATTACGGCGGGGGTCAACGGAAATGAGATCAACAAAATTGTTCCCATGTGACGAATCAAACCCGACCCTTCAGCGTGATGAGTGAACACATTACCCATTATGCAATTCTGCCGCCCTGGGGGATATCTGGATCTGTCTTTGGTTTGACTCGACGACATGTCCATCTCTTTTGTAAAAGATTGCAAAGCTCCATAACAAATACCTCAAACAGCGATATATTGCTGGGGCCAGGAGATACACATGTCTCCTGTCTCTAAGATTGACCTTGATTAAAGTAAAATAAAAAAAGGAAGCGTTTGAGATAAATCATAGGATTTGCTTGCTTTTGCTAAAAAGAACAAGGTTTAATTCTGTCAAAATAAGAAAACATTCGCTTTTTCAACTGTGGCCACAACTATGCACAAGGCAAACTATTTGGGCCTTGATCCGCGGGGCATTTGTCAATAAACCCGGATATCACAGACACACTGGCAGTTATTTGTTCAGAGGTTCAGGGCAATTTCTCAAAGTATCATTTACTGGGAAAACGGTATTTAAAATGCAGGACATGCTCATAAATAACATCTGTGAGATGCTGGGACATTTGTATGTATAGTTTCACTGATATAAACATTATATACGACCCACGTGCTTCCTCAAACCCACAGACCACAGTAAAGAGTTCTACAGGAAACCCACCTTGATTTACACTCATTGCGAACTCGCACGGCCCAAAGAGCCCTTTGAAGACGTAATCAGTCTTACAATCATCTCCGGGATATGTCTCAAAATATTGTATTCAATCTTACATTGAGGTACTGGACCTGTACCTTACAGTAACCATCGCCCTGAGAGATCATGGCGTACACACAGGCCCAATGTTATACCATTAAACGTTCAATACACGTTTCTATAATTGCCCTAACATGCGATATTCGAAGATCAAAGAGGCAGCTTGTCTATGACACATATCCTCCGTGTCCTCATCTCAGTCAACGAGAACGCAACGAGATGACTCCACAATTATTGACATTTGCGCCCATTGGGAAACACGTTCTCCCAGCTTCATAAACAGTGCAACTGCAATCTGTTATCGGATTCATACATCTGTCTACGCTTCTTCCAATTAAGAAAACTTCTATCAAAGAGACATGCCAAAAACTCGAAGCGACCGGAGCGCACCCTAGCGGCGAGGAGCGTTATCCGATCAGTCACGTGTTACAGAGGGCCATTAGTTTCAGGTGCTAAGAATCAGGAACCGACATAACAATGTAAAAATTGGCATGACGTGACAGATGATATGGACAAACTGGGGAAAAGAACAAACCTGGTTTACAATGACGTATGATGATGTATGGAGGTAAATAATTTCTTTCGAAAACACATACATCATTAAATGTATTTTATTCACTTCTGTTGTAGGAAATGGTTAGTGATGAGGCGACACGGCACTAACGTCTTCAGGATGTGCTGACGTGGACGTGACGGGGGTAACAACGTTTGGTACAGAGTAATGGTCTCGTAGGTGTATTGACATTGACAAAACGATTCCCCACTATCATTGTCACTGCTGAACTGGTGACTGTGCACCTGACATAGACCTGTCTTAGATAGGCCCGATGGATAGATCTGACATAGACCTGTCTTAGATAGACCCGATGGATAGATCTGACATAGACCTGATAGATGGATCTGACATAGACCTGATAGATGGATCTCACATAGATCTGATAGATGGATCTCACATAGACCTGATAGATGGATCTTACATAGACCTGATAGATAGACCTGATAGATAGATTTGACATATACTTCACTTAGATAGACCTGATAGATACATCTGCTATAGACCTGATAGATAGGTCTGATAGATAGATCTGACATAGACCTGATAGATAGGTCTGATAGATAGATCTGACATAGACCTGACTTAGATAGACCTGATAGATAGATCTGATAGATAGATTTGATATAGACCTGATAGATAGATCTGATATAGACCTGATAGATAGGTCTGACATAGATCTGATAGATAGATCTGACATATACCTCACTTAGATAGACCTGATAGATAGATCTGATAGATAGATCTGACATAGACCTGATAGATAGATCTGATATAGACCTGATAGATAGGTCTGATGGATAGATCTGACATAGACCTGATAGATAGGTCTGATAGATAGATCTGACATAGATCTGACTTAGATAGACCTGATAGATAGATATGACATAGACCTGTCTTAGATAGACCTGATGGATAGATCTGACATAGATCTGATAGATAGATCCGACATAGACCTGTCTTAGATAGACCCGATGGATAGGTCTGACACAGACCTGTCTTAGATAGACCTGATAGATAGATCTGACATATACCTCACCTAGATAGACCTGATAGATAGATCTGACATATACCTCACTTAGATAGACCTGATAGATAGATCTGACATATACCTCACCTAAATAGACCTGATAGATAGATCTGACATAGATCTGATAGATAGATCCGACATAGACCTGATAGATGGATCTCACATAGACCTGTCTTAGATAGACCCGATGGATAGATCTGACACAGACCTGTCTTAGATAGACCTGATAGATAGATCTGACATATATCTCACCTAAATAGACCTGATAGATAGACCTGATAGATAGATCTGACATAGACCTCACCTTGATAGACCTGATAGATAGATCTGACATATACCTCACTTACATAGACCCGATGGATATATCTGACATAGACCTGTCTTAGACCTGATAGATAGATCTGACATATACCTCACCTAGATAGACCTGATAGATAGACCTGATAGATAGATCTGACATAGACCTGTCTTAGATAGACCTGATAGATAGATCTGACATAGATCTGATAGATAGATCCGACATAGACCTGATAGATGGATCTCACATAGACCTGTCTTAGATAGACCCGATGGATAGATCTGACACAGACCTGTCTTAGATAGACCTGATAGATAGATCTGACATATACCTCACTTAGACCCGATGGATAGATCTTACATAGACCTGTCTTAGATAGACCTGATGGATAGATCTGACATATACCTCACTTAGACCCGATGGATAGATCTGACATAGACCTGTCTTAGATAGACCTGATAGATAGATCTGACATAGATCTGATAGATAGATGCGACATAGATCTGATAAATAGATCTGACATAGATCTGATACATAGATCTGACATAGACCTGTCTTAGATAGACCTGATAGATAGATCTGACATAGACCTGATAGATGGATCTCACATAGACCTGATAGATGGATCTCACATAGATCTGATAGATGGATCTCACATAGACCTGATAGATGGATCTTACATAGACCTGATAGACCTGATAGATAGATTTGACATATACTTCACTTAGATAGACCTGATGGATAGACCTGATGGATAGATCTGACATAGACCTGACTTAGACCTGATAGGTTTACCTGATAGCTAGACCTGACGTAGACCTGACGTAGATAGACCTTATAGAGACAACGAAAGTATTTTACACTGACATGATTTTTTAAATCTAATTAGACGTCTCCACCCGATAGTTGATATGTACTTGTATCCTAGGTACCCGTGAACATCTGGGGTAGAACTGGTGTTCAGCACCCGGGACGGGTGGTCAGGCTGGTGGTTGAACATGTCATCGTTTCCACTGACGCAGCTAGATGCTCAGGATGTTGTTGTGGTGTTAAATACCAAAGAAACAATTAAATACATCCAGGTTTTGTGGTACAGGTGGCACAGTATACCATCTGTCTCTACAAGAATTAGAACCAAGTTACTGTTTGAAAGTGTATTTATTTGCTGCTTAATTAATTCCCCGTCAGTAACTATCTACCCCGGTCACATAATCCTGTGATTGATGTTACAACTATCGAACCACGTCGTCGGACAACCAGGTGACTAGGTCCAACCACCCGACGTACCCTTCCAGTCACATGTCTGCACGTTGTGGAAGTGTTCTTATTCTGAGTAATACAATAATAGTAAACAATAAGCAAGCTTAATGGATAACAACTTCTTTATTACGACGTTTCGATACAGATTCTTGTACCGTTGTTCACTCTAGGAATACAGAAGTTGTTATCCATAAAGTTTGCCTATTTTGTACTTCGCAGCTACTAAAATGCCACTCAAAGAAGATCAAAGAATACATGTGATATCATGTTCAACAGTCAAAGTACCAAAACAACACCATTTGCGCTAAGGAGAGTTGATTTGTAAAATATTGGCACTAAATGTAAGTTAGAAAAAGAACGAGAGAATATTTTGAGATGGGTACATGTATTCAAGTTCTGAAATCGTCGAATGTACCAAATGTATTGCCTCTTGGAAAAAGATGAGTGACTGGCATTACTACTCTAGCTGCTACTGCTGCTACTACTACTACCACCACCACAACTACTACTACTACTGCTATCATTACTACTACTACTTCTACTACGACTACTACTACGACTACTACTTCTACTACTATGACCAGTACCATTCCTATTCCTGCTGCTACTACTAATAATACCAGTACTATTCCTGCTGCTACTGCTACTATTACAACAACAACTACTACTACTACTACTGCTATTACTACTACTACTACTACTACTACTACTACATACCACTACTACTACTACTACTACTACTACTACTACTGCCACTACTTCTAAGACTGCAGATTCCAAAGCTTCAGTAAGAGTTTAGTATGAGTTTCTGCAAATGAAGTGGATGCAATAGGTAAATCACGGCAGGACTTACCTGAGCGTGTGAACGTCCACCAGGTAAGTCTGTCTGTGTGTCAGTCTGTTGGCTAGTTGACAAAGTCCAGGTTTTATACCGGCATGGAGCGCGTGGCGCGTGCACTGAGCGCGAGCTGGCTGAGTCTGAGTAATCAATGAGAACTGGCCGACACGAGTGGACAGAGAGGCCGAGAGGGGCGGGGCACACTATGCGGGGGTTGGGATCGATCGAGTGTTGAAGTGGGGTGACATGAAGGTTACGTGCTGGCTATATCAACCAGTGGCGATCGTGGGCGTGGCTCGGAGACGTTTGACATCGGAGTCAAGGAAATGATGAATAAAAGATAGCAGTGAGTTACAAATGGGTGTCACCAGTTTCCATGCAGTGGCCATCTGTCTCGGGAAAGTCATACGGAGACACATGGAAACACACTTACAAGTAGAAATACACTCACGTCCTCAAATATGTGCGTGTCTGCAAAAGTGGAACATTTTACTAGAACGACAGCAAAAGTTAAGGAACGCGAAACCAATGGTGCGCATGTGTGTGTGCGTCTTGCGCACACGTGTGCGTAAGTAGCTTGTACGGGTATGTCTGTGCTTGTGTTTCTATGTGAGGTGGTGTGTGCATGTGTGCTTGTGTGTGAGTTTATTGGTTTGTTGTGATGGGGATGTTTAAATGGAATCGGTATTCTAAGAGAGCCTGGTCCCAAATGACGTTGCTATGTTCTACACCAGAATTGGACAGGCATACAAAGTTGGACAAAAGTTGAAACGAGTGTGAGTAGCATGTGATCATACATATATGATGAGTCTCAGATGGCAGCAGCCCCACCTCAGACTGTAAGAATTTACATCTGACCAGTGGCCGCGGAGTGATATGACCACAGCGTGTAATGAGACATTTATGCTAGGGTTTATGACAAGCACGTACACAGGAGGGGGCCCGCTGTGGGGTTAACGAAGAGGGTGAGACTCCCCCTGCTGGTGATTGTGACAGTTGGTACTCCTGTGGTACTGATAACAACGCCTAGCTCTGGTGGTGCAGGGGGATATTGATGGGGCACCTGACGTGGAGCCTGAACGGGATTCAGCCCTGTGTATACTGTCAGTCTCTGTCAGGCCAGCAGTTCAGCAATACCGCAAAGACTATGTAGATATCCAGGGCAAGTCATTCTACTGTCAATACATCATAATTGGTGAACAATATTTCGATATTATTTCAGCCGATATTTAATTGTCGGAAATTCCATTTTATTTATTCAGTGAGGCTTGGATTATATTTTCTTATATAGAGGCCGTGACTTTGCTTTTCTGGTACAGATGCCTGGACTACATTTTCTGATACAGAGGGTGGGCACTGTGTTTTCTGATACAGAGGGTGGGGACTGTGTTTTCTGATACAGAGGATGGGGACTGTGTTTTCTGATACAGAGGGTGGGGACTGAGTTTTCTGACACAGAGTCCGGTACTATATATTTTTATATAGGGACTATGTTTTCCTTATATGGAGACTGGGACTACATTTTCTGATTTAGAGGCCGGGACTACATTTTCAGATATAGAGGCCGGGACTACATTTTCAGATATAGAGGCCGGGACTACATTTTCAGATATAGAGGCCGGGACTACATTTTCAGATATAGAGGCCGGGACTACATTTTCAGATATGGAGGCCGGGACTACATTTTCAGATATGGAGGCCGGGACTACATTTTCAGATATAGAGGCCGGGACTACATTTTCAAATATGGAGGCCGGGACTACATTTTCAGATATGGAGGCCGGGACTACATTTTCAGATATAGAGGCCGGGACTACATTTTCAGATTTAGAGCTCGGGACTACATTTTCAGATATAGAGGCCGGGACTACATTTTCAGATATGGAGGCCGGGACTACATTTTCAGATATAGAGGTCGGGACTACATTTTCAGATATGGAGGCCGGGACTACATTTTCAGATATGGAGGCCGGGACTACATTTTCAGATATGGAGGCCGGGACTACATTTTCAGATATGGAGGCCGGGACTACATTTTCAGATATAGAGGCCGGGACTACATTTTCAGATTTAGAGCTCGGGATTACATTTTCAGATATAGAGGCCGGGACTACATTTTCAGATTTGAAGAGAGTTCGACGTTAAACAAACGAAACAATGATACGAAGAGGCCGGGACTATGAAGAGGTGGGGGATATCTGTCTTAATATTGACATACCTGACCCTATCTGCGTCTGTGGGGACTGTGTCTCCTTATATAAAGGGGCTGGGCAATGTTTCCTGGTATAGAGGTAGGGCATATTGTGCTTTCTTACAACATGTAGTTGGAAACATGTAAAACGCAATGAAAGTGCACAAGACACTTTGAACACATTTTGATTTTCCCTTTTTGATGACAGCGGGAGAACACCAGCAAAGGAAACACTGAGCACTTGGACATGTCAAACTGCATGTTGCCCTTAAAATCTTTTTTGAAAATGTCCTACAGTATACAGGCAATAAACGGCAATACCTACTCTATGGTTTCTCGGTAACATTGTCCCCAACATACAATACACGGCAATACCGACTCTATGGTTTCTCGGTAACATCGTCCGAACAATACAATACACGGCAATACCGACTGCATGGTTTCTCGGTAACATCGTCCCAAAAATACACGGTAATACTGACTCCATGGTTTCTCGGTAACATCGTCCCAAAAATACACGGCAATACTGACTCCGTGGTTTCTCGGTAACATTGTCCCAACAATACACGGCAATACTGACTCCATAGTTTCTCGGTAACATCGTCCCAACAATACACGTCAATACTGACTATCTGGTTTCTCGGTAACATTGTCCCAACAATACACGTCAATACTGACTCCGTGGTTTCTCGGTAACATTGTCCCAACAATACACAGCGATTCTGACTATCTGGTTTCTCGGTAACATTGTCCCAACAATACACGGCAATTCTGACTATCTGGTTTCTCGGTATCATTGTCCCAACAATACACAGAAATTCTGACTATCTGGTTTCTCGGTAACATTGTCCCAACAATACGCAGCAATTCTGACTATCTGGTTTCTCGGTATCATTGTCTCAACAATACACAGAAATACTGACTCCATGGTTTCTCAATACATTGTCCCAACAATACACGTCAATACTGACTGCATGGTTTTTCGGTAACATTGTCTCAACAATACATAGCAATACTGACTCCATGGTTTCTCGGTAACATTGTCCCAACAATACACAGCAATTCTGACTATCTGGTTTCTCGGTATCATTGTCTCAACAATACACAGAAATACTGACTCCATGGTTTCTCGGTAACATTGTCCAAACAATACACCGCAATTCTCACTATCTGGTTTCTCGGTATCATTGTCCGAACAATACACAGAAATTCTGACTATCTGGTTTCTCGGTAACATTGTCCGAACAATACACAGAAATTCTGACTATCTGGTTTCTCGGTAACATTGTCCCAACAATACACAGCAATACTGACTCCATGGTTTCTCAATACATTGTCCCAACAATACACGTCAATACTGACTGCATGGTTTCTCGGTAACATTGTCCCAACAATACACGGCAATACTGACTCCATGGTTTCTCGGTAGGATTGTCCCAACAATACACGGCAATACTGACTCCATGGTTTTTCGGTAACATTGTCCCAACAATACACAGCAATTCTGACTATCTGGTTTCTCGGTATCATTGTCTCAACAATACACAGCAAAACTGACTATCTGGTTTCTCGGTATCATTGTCCCAACAATACACAGCGATTCTGACTATCTGGTTTCTCGGTAACATTGTTCCAACAATACACAGAAATTCTGACTATCTGGTTTCTCGGAATCATTGTCCCAACAATACGCAGCAATACTGACTCCATGGTTTCTCGGTAACATTGTTCCAACAATACACAGAAATTCTGACTATCTGGTTTCTCGGAATCATTGTCCCAACAATACGCAGCAATACTGACTCCATGGTTTCTCGGTAACATTGTTCCAACAATACACAGAAATTCTGACTATCTGGTTTTTCGGTAACATTGTCCCAACAATACGCAGCAATACTGACTCCATGGTTTCTCGGTAACATTGTCCCAACAATACACAGCAATACTGACTATCTGGTTTCTCGGTAAGATTGTCCCAACAATACACAGCAATTCTGACTCCATGGTTTCTCGGTAACATTGTCCCAAAAATACAATACATGGCAATACTGACTCCATGGTTTCTCGGTAACATCGTCCGAACAATACACGGTAATTCTGACTCCATGGTTTATTGGTCTGATCATGGCTCCCAGGTCGATTTGTAATGACACCCGACGCTGTGCTACGGCGGTATTGCTGCTACAAGCGAAACAGGGATGTAAGACAATACACGTCGCCTACAGCGTGATCTATAGAGACTCATGACGTGCATTCAATTTACATTTATTGTTTTATGAACGTTGTACCGCCCTCTCCCTTAGTGAATATAGAACACTAATGCCCGGAGGTCAGGGATTGAAGTAGCTCAATCAACAGAATGTTTTGATTTTTTTTTATTTCTGGATGTTCTAATGGCACAATATTGAATATTAAATGTTTACATTGCCAGAAGCGGGTGTTTGTTAATGCGTGTGTATTGTGGTGCAATAAGACCTACTCTCGGCTTTAAGGTATAGCCAGCCTATCTATAGTAAGTGTATGACAGGCTTCTGACCGCCACACACGTACGTCGCCTTAAGTAATTAGGTTAAGGGTGGTATTTACTTGTGTTGTTTCAAGCCCAAGACAACATTGTTGACGACATAAAATGACGTCACAGTAAAGTTAGGTTAAGACGTATATCAGATTGTATTGTATTACCACCGTTAGACTCTACATGGGGACATTGCGCTTCAGTTTCTATAGACCATTCTTAATGAGGCCTCATGAATATTCATATCTGTACCAAAACGAGGCTAAATTGGGCAAGGACACAATCGCATAATGGCGACAAATCTCAATGTATATACTTCCTGGTTTCAAATTTCCCTTGAACGGTACATTACTAAACTGTCCAGTAGTTCAGGGAAATCGCGGAGAAATGGGAAAGGGCTACAAAAATGTTTCTGTAGCATATCCACGGATTGAAGGGTGAATAATTGCTGTACTTCACGACACATCACGATAAGTCACATGACCTA